AAAGTTATGTTGTTGACAATTTAAGTAACAAAAATGATATAGGCAACAGGATCAGTCCGATAATATTGAACCTCCGGTGACTGAAATGGAGCGGTCAAATCGTTTTGAGAAAAATGTGACAGTTAGTAAACGCCAGGGGAATAATTATCTAGATTTTATAAATGTTACTAAATGTAATAAGTAACTGTACAATTACTATAAACATTCATTCATAATAATTAATAAAATATAAAGTTCATCAAATATTTCTGTTTATTTGTTTATAAAATATATATGCATTTATAACTCGAAATCGCTTTTTTCTCTAGGGAGGTAAGTTACCTCACTTACCTCGCGTTATCCATAGCAACTTCCACTTCTACGGTAAAATTCACTTATCTCCTTAAAAACAATGTATTAATAGTATATTTACTATAGTGGGAGCAGATAAAATGATTTTCTTCTCCCATTTATTTCAATTATCAAAAAAACTGTAGTGGAGAGGATTCGTCCAATTATTTAGCAAATTGCTGCATAAATATTTATAAAACCATTAAAAAATCCTCTAAAACAAAGTCCGGTTTCTACAACCTCATAGTTAATTTGACATCTTATTATATTAATTTAACAGTAAATTTAATATTTGCATTTCATTATTATAAACAGCGGAGACGATTTCATTGACGTAATACAACGACATTTTATCCTAAAATTCAGGTTTTTTGCTTTGCGTGTCTTGCACTATAATTAGAATTGTCTGCAGTGATAGTGTATATTAAAATAAACAAATAGAAAGAAGTTCTACTTATTAAATTATAAGTACATATTGAGGTTAAAAGTACCAGGACCTTTCGATTTAACTAATCTACTTACTCTAAAGTGATCCAGTGTACCTACGTAGATTGGCATTAGGAGATAAAGAAGATGAACTCAGCACAAAACAATTAATTAAACTAAACGCAATCAAAAATAAAATAACTTGCGCGTATTGCTTCATATCTTCTATGAAGACATTATATTTCAAACAAAGAAAAATGTACTGTTTAATTAATTGTTTTGAGGAACCAAAATATGTTTCAATGTAAATAATCAAAAATTTAAATTACCTTGTTTACCTACCAGATTACATATTTTATAATAATATTCTATTGCCCAATGATCTGTAGTCACGATAAGGTAATATGTATAGGCATAGGCTATACTACTGTAAACTCGAGTAATATATATAGTAGATACATAATAAATAAATATCTTTGTATTGAATACGAGAATTTACATATTATTTCTAAATTCGATATATTTAGCTGTTTCGTCACATCGAACAAATTTATTTAATATGAATATTTAGTTTGCGAAACGATTAGCATAGGACATTGAAAGCACGCACTTGAACTAAGTTAGCTAACAAACTTTTAAAAGGAGGTTTCCAGTTAGTGATATATCTCTGGATCACTTTGGGGTAGCTAAATGGAAAGCTTTTACTAGTTTTAACCTCAATATTTATATGTTTTCGTGAATTAACCTACTTCTTTTAGCCTCTATGTAAAATTGCTCGATTGTTAAAAAACTACCTTAGAAAGATCGACATAAGAAAATAAATAACAAGTCGAGTTTTGATTTTTCTTTATAATATCCCTCACGAAAATGGGTTACTATCAATTTACATAATTATATTTGAAATTTGCGCTTTCTAAGATACCTTATTCGCCTGCAAATTCCGTATAGGCGCGGTGTCGAATATAAGGTTATTACAGACATAATCTTGGCATTTTCCTAAATGTTAACTTTCCTCAGGATTCCACATGTCACATCATAGAAGAAGAACTAAGGTCTCATAATCCTGTTACACATTCCTTACATGGAATTGTAATAAAGTGACCGAACAAAATTCAAATTAAGGATATTCTTTCAACTTTCAATGACGAAGATAAGTGGTGTCTTAGATAAGAAAAGATGAATTTCCAAATCGTACTTGAATATCAATCGATGTTTAACAGTAAAAAACTATTAAGACACTAGACAGATGTAAATTTATGTTTAAGCGAAAATATTTGTTTATGTACTTCGTTAAAGTTAATCAATTAAACATGATATACACATGTAATTATTATCAATTTATGATTAATATATTTTGTTAACAAATATCTTTACATGCAAAAGAAACTGTGTTTGTTATTAAATTATTAAGTATTGCGGTATATGTATCTCTGCTAAGAGAAAATTGTACCTACCTAATGAAATTAAGTATAAAGTGATCATAGACAAATATTTACAGAGCCTTCGCTATTACATTTTTTATGCAATATTTGTTTTCCTGATACGCCAGAAGTCGCCTTTTTCGGTTGGAAATACTTGTTAAATCTTAACAATCACTTGCTATTGACACTATATCATTTATATGGGAGGAGTGTAATACAAAAAAAACAATTGTCTATTATTTTTGCAGTATAATTAAAGTACAATTAATTGTATTTATCTATGATTGTAAAAGGTTACAAACCATCAACTAGCATTAGATACGTTAGCATGTTAAATTTTTTATTCGCATTTTATAATGTTCGAGGATTTCTCTTTACTGTTGTATGAAAAAAGAATCAGGTAAAATATAGGCAATACGTTAATTGATTAATTTTGGCATTATAGCGTTTCAAAAACATAAAAATAAACAATGTTAATTATGAAATTAAATATAATTAGTTTCATTACGTCTGTTTTTTAGTTGTAATTATTTAATGGACATTTATTAGGCCTATAGGCAATATAATAATACAATACTAAATTTTTCTCAACGCAAGTTTCTTAAAGTACGTTCATAGATTTAAGAGAAAATACATGCGAATACAAGTGTAACATCCTTCGTTAATTCAAAATGTCTTCTCAATTCCCGACTAAACAGAAATAAATTCTTGAAACACAATTCAGTCAGAACCTGTTTGACCTGGTGACAATTCGACACAAGTAGTTTCTCTCTTAAATCTATGAATTACTTTACACTTCTGGTTAATCAGAATACATAGTTATATGTATACAGGATGACCAAAAAGAATTGACGATGTCTCGGATTTGAGTAGGCCTTGCAAGAATAACGTCATAAGTTCATATACCTTCTTTTTATTTGGGCTCACTTGTAGAGTTATTAGATCTTGAAGTTGAAAGTTGAAAATCGATTTTCCCTTACAACTTTTTCTACAGCGTGAGCCCGAATTTAAAAAATTATACAAGCTTGTGACGTTATTTTTGTAGTACTCAAATTCGAGAGATTGCCCACCACTTCGTTATCACTCTCTATATGCCGGTGCAGCTGTTAGCATCAATGTAAAGTAACACAATGGAAAGGTATGACTTTATGTTTTTTTTATATACTTCGTTTGTCGAATGGAGTTCACGAAAGTAATACGATAGTGACTCCAATTTATGCAAAACGACAGAAATAATGAACAACGTATATAAATTTTTAATCGAAGAAAACTTTCGGCGGGCTATAAATTATTACAAAATAAAGCAATATCCTGTTTTTTATATCATGTTCATCCTCAATATCGTAGTACTATCGCTTGTTTCTCAAATAATGCCAAGGCTGTCTAGGCTTTAGTTGAATATAATGGAATTAAACTATTAGTATTTCCATATTCATATACATACGTACTTCTGACACGTATAAGATTAAAATATTTTGTGTTTTTGACAAAATACGAGTATTTACTAAAATATTTAGTGAGAAAATCATGGCAAGAGCTGAAAATTCAACGAGAAGTTGTAAAAGCTATAAAAATAAACGCAATACAATCGCTTTAATAGTCGTTCAAGCAAATGTCAGTCACTTGAATAATAAAAAAAACACTTTTGCCAAAATGAATGAATATTGATTTGGTTGATAAAATAAAACAAAGAAGTTATTTATTTAAAACTGGATTAATTATGACTTGTTTAATAAAATGAGAACGATATTGTACCTGATTGTACCTGTGCTATAGGATATCCCAGACCTCTACCCAATATATAAAAATTTGAAAAATTGTTTACTAAACGTACGAAACGTATAAGAAATAAAAATAATTAAGAATTTTTTTCATAACAACAATAAAATATCGTGATAATAAAGAATTTTATTTTGCAACAATATAAATTACCTACTGTTTTTTGAATAAAAAATGTTTGTTTAGAAAATGGCAAAATTCCAATTTCCTTCTGTTGAAAAATGACAAAATCTAAAGTAGGTAATACAGGTATCTAATAATTAAATAATAAAAAATACTCATGAGGCTACTTAATTTAAAACAACTTTCTGCCGTTCTACTCAATTATACATTTACAAAAACTGGTTATGCTTTTTTTATTATTTTGATGATTATTTAACAAATATGTTGCGTTGACTAAATGTACTTTTAACTATTCAATAATAATTATTATTAAGAAATGTCAAAAGACCAATTTGTTAAATTATTAAATTTCAGTAGTAGCAGAGGTAATATATTATTTTACATTTGTAATTTAACTGATGACTTTAAAAATAATAGTTATTTAATATTTGTTGTTTCAAATCTCAACTTTGACATATTCCTCAAAATTCGTAAAGCTAATAGATTTACATTAAAAATTTTTAAATGTCACATCATCTTGTAATCTCTTTTGCAACAAATTCATATTATTAATACAGAATTTGTTGTTTTTATTGTGAACTTAATAATAATTAATAACTTTTTCACACTTATATATGTAAATTTATAGTTTACTTTATCCAATATAAGGACATTTTGGCTTAATAATTTGAAATGCCAAGAAGTCCATAAAAAACATTTGTTAATTAATAATAAAAAGTAATCATGAAAACTTATGATCAAATTTTGTAGAAGTAATTTATATATTTAATAAATTTATCTATACACAATAACGATTTTTATAACGCCAAATGAATGAAGTATATATTTTCAACGCTGATTTGCTAGATTCTGTAGTACATTCTGAACCAGCTTAAAACACGACAGATTTATTTGACACTTTTGACAGTGATTTGACACCAGCTGACAATTGACATTGACATGATATTCGTAAAAAAGAATCAAAACAGTTTCATATAAAGCATAAAGTAGAAGAAAAAACAAATAGTAAGAGAGTAAGTAATTAATTCATAAATATTTTTACGGAGCTATTTAAATGTGCACCTAAATATTGTTCTTTTTATTTATATGTGTAGTTAAATTTAAATCACTTGACCTTTCTAAAATAAACAATAAATACTTCAATCATTGCACTATATTTAGATATTTAAGATGGAAGAAGACGATCACGACGAGCTATTACAGTGCACAGATGATGAGTCTTTGTCTGACACCGAAGACCAATGTCTTCCTATCGATAAGCCTGAAGAAAACTACCGACACACCCTTACCTACTTCTGCCACACCAAACTAGAATTCATCACCACCAAGTTAGCCCTAATCTTTTCAACATCTGTGATGCTCATACTGTTCCCACTTTATTTGGAAGCGATAAACGTCCGTGGCAGTGCTTACTCCATGATTTTGACGAATACCTCCATTTCCACCCTCCTGTTTGTCGTGACAATGGTCATTGCAAAGTGTTTCTGTGAGAAATACAGGAATATAAGGATATGCAGTTTCCCCGTACAGTTTTCCAAGCTCCTTCAGCTGTCTGGGGTGTATTTTTTATGCGCATTTATGATCGTGTACGCTTTGGACAGGAAGAGAGTTATATGCCACCTGCAAGACCCAATTAAAGGGATCGTTCTTGTGTTTTCGCTGTTATATTATTTCTTCTTTTGCAGAAAGTGTAAGTATGAGTCGTAAGTTTTTGAGAATCATACTTCTTGTTCGTGTTTTTGTTTACAGTAATGGGGCTTCAAAGGATATTCTCTGCAACCACAATAATCGTAGGTTTGTTCATTGCCGTCGACTATGGGTTGTGCGACGAATTTCGATGTAGAGGTTATGAACGTGAAAAGGTGTCCGATGACATGGGTGCTTGGAGTTGGCAGACTCACGCTATTTGGACCACGATTTACATCGCCGGGTTAGCTATGTTCGCGGGGTATTTCACTTTGCTGGATAGATACGTTCTGACCAATAACGAAATGGTAAGTTTATTTCAGTTCTCTTCGTCAACTGAGTTGTATTTGTTCTTTTTAGGAATTCCATAACATCAGTATACCGTCAACGTTTCTCAGTACAGTGTCAAGATCCGTGTCCTTTCCAAATACGAATAACGTGGGCACTTCACAATTTATCGGTGGCGCTTCCCCAGAGAACTCTCACTTGACCAAGAAGAATTCGGTGGTGCACTTAGCTATGTGGATTCATATCTTAGGGCTCGCTATTATTTTGCTGTTGTTTTGGGTGGATTTTATACCGGCAGTTGGAAAAGTAAGTATGAATTTGGACACTGAATATTTAATTTACAAGTTATAGGTACTTTGCTATTTTAAACAACTTTTGGACAGCTTTACAACATCCCATACCTTCAATTGTTTCAAGAGTTCACAATTTCAAACGGGTTTCTGTAAAACCGTTGATAGGCGTGACTCCAGGGTCCATACTTGGACCTCTTCTAGTTGCTATTTATATTAAGGATGTCATAAAAGACCTTAATATAAAATAGCCTTTGTAGGCTGATGATGCAAAAATATTTTATAATGTAATATTATTTTTAACCCTCGGTTATATTTCTTATACCACATCTGTAGATTCTTAACTGATACATACAGGGTGTAACACTACAGCATGTCCAAAACCAAACCAAAGGGCACCTCTATCCAAATTTAAGGGCATTTTCTTATACAGCTTTCGTGTATGAAATAATTGAAACATCCAAAAAATGTTTGTAGGTAGACTTGTCCTATGGAAAAAATGTAAACAACTATTATTGACAATTATTGTCTTGAAATTTACTAAATGTTTCACGATAATAGTTGTTTACATTTTTTCCATAGGACAAGTCTACCTACAAAAATTTTTTGGATGTTTCAATTATTAATTGTTTTCCAATTTTTAAATAAATATAATAAAATGTATCGATTTTGTAATACGAAGATAGTGTTGTGCTTAAATTTTTGGCGAAATTTAGTAATTATGAGTCTTAAAACAGGAACTTAACTTTTAATCAAATTGTGAATTTGAAAAATATGTAATTAAAGTACCCAAAAATTCACGTCATCCAAATAATCATACGTATTAAAAATAATTTAGGTACTTATCAAAAAGCAAAATTCAGTAATTTTTAAACGCACAAGTACAAAACAAACTACAACATATGCTTAAAATGTCCACCACCATTTTCGATGCACACACGACACCTTCAAACCCAATTTTCGTGTAGTCGCTGGAAAACACCCCAAGAAATAGTGGTACGCAAAAAACACTCAGACACGGTCCAGTTCCAGATACCAACTGAATTGCGTATTGCTGGTTGGACAGCTTAGTATCTCATGTTATCCGCCGCGCCCATTGTCGCATTGCCCGATATGAATTTTAAATTTATTACAACACTAATTATTTTTTAAAATTAAACGTAAAGAAGTTCAAAAAAGTGATAAACATTGCATTTTATGGTATTCTATGCACACAGTCAATATTCCTTAATTGAACTTTTGTACATCAAGTTGCAGATTTTGATCATTTTTTCTCGGAAATGTTTAATTTAATGTATTCCACCGTCTGTTAAAATTAAGGCAGTCAAAATTCTAACACCCTGTATAAAAGTTTATGTTAAATCTTGATGGTGAAAATACCTGTTCGTTTGGACACACTGTAGAATTACACCCAGTATATATAAAACTTTCTAATTTATTTAAGGAAACTCAAGTGATTTTAAGGTTCAGCCTCTCCAATGATTAATATTTACAACATTTGTGAGATTTAATCTTTTCTTCAGGTTTTTTTGTTTTTTTTTTTTTAATTCCGATATTTTCCAAGTGGGAAGCTTTAATTGAAACACTCTATATATCAATATCTGTCTATTATTCTCTTATCTATCTTTTTAAATCTGTTACTTCGCCGCTAGATACGGTTTATCTTATTCGGGGTACTCTACAAGACTTTCTGTATAGAGTATGTTCATAGATTTAAGAGAATAACACCTGTGCCGACTTGAGTTCAGTTACCCATCATAAAATTCAGTCTTCAAGTATTTGGAATACATTTCTGTAAATCAATTTACAAATAAAATGTTTCTTATAGGATAATAACTTGACGATATTATTGCAAAACTTGTTATTTCAGTAAAAAAAGTTTGGTAGAGTAGACCTCCTAAATATTTCGAGCCCCTGATTTAGAATTTGACACCAGAATTGCACTATCCTGTCAGGATTTTTGTCCAACCTCACATGTTCAAATTGTATGCAAATCAAGACATTTCCCTATAGTCCAGTCGTGTTAGACAAAAAGGGCTTAACCAGGAAAAAATTAGGGACCACAATTTTATTGTTCAAACCTTTAGAGGGGGGGGGGGGGGAATAGTAGTGTAAATTCAGTATTGCGACTGAATTCCACCCCTGCATGAGCCGCCATCTTGAATTTAAGGAAAAATCGTTTTTGCTCAATATCTCGGCCATTTTCAACTTTACAACAAAAATGGTAAGGACTTAAGTTGTTGCAAATGCGATTTCCTACAACTTCTTTTCTTACAAATTTTATCGTGCGATCGATATTTTTCAAGTTAAGGGGAAAAATAGAATAGTGACAAAGTATAATTATTGAATTATCTCGTTTGTTATTGACTTTACGACATAAATGTAAATATAATTCTTTCCAACTTTGTTTATGTACATTTATGTCGTAAAGTCAATATCAAACTAGTTCAATAATTATACTTTGTCACTATTTTCCCCCTTAACTTGAAAAATATTGATCGCATGATAAAATTTGTAAGGAAAGAAGTTGTAGGAAATCGCATTTGAACAACTTAAGTCTTTACTATTTTTGATGTAAAGTTGAAAATGGCCGAGATATTGAGCAAAAACGATTTTTCCTTAAATTCAAGATGGCGGCTCATGCAGGGGTGGAATTCAGTCACGATTCTGAATTTACACTTCTATTGACCCCCCCCCCTAAAGGTTAGAACAATAAAATTGTGGTCCCTAATTTTTTCCCGGTTAAATGGCAACACGACTGGACTACTATTAAATTTTTTAAAAAGCTGAGTGCAAATTTGGCAGTACCACGTAATATTTTGTAGGCTATATCTCACCCACACTCATGACATTGGCAGAAAGACATCATTTGTCGGTCATCTGATCTGTGGCATACTAATGAGAACTAATAAGTTCAAAATCAGTCTCTGTCTGGTTTACTAGATATTGAGGGTGTAATTCAATGCTGGACGCATCATGTAGTTCTTTTCCACAATATCATTAAAACAAAATTCAAATGAATCTCTTTTAGGGTTCCGATATTGGTGACTTCTGGAATTACACCTTGAACGGATTCATATGCCACTTCCAGAAACCGATCCCGCCGTCTCTGGGCAAGTCCCCCTGTGGAAACGTCTTCCTCTTCTCCTGGATGTTCATGTGCTCCTACGTTCTCTTTGTGGTGATGTCCGTCAAGTTCCTAATCCTGTCCCAATCAGCGGTGTACACCATAGCCACCATGTCCACTTCCTTGCCGTTAGTCGGCATCTGGTGGTCACTGTTCCACGCCGTACCCGATAATAACGGTAAGTCGTTTTTATTAAATTTCGTAATACTTCTTAACTTTTTCCAAATCTAGGTCTAATGGTATGGTCCCCGTCCTTGACGGGAGAACTGATATGCGCCATCCTGGGCCTGCCCATCATACTGGTAGGCCTCTTCTTGCTGTGCAAGGCCCATTTCAAGGACTACCAGTGGTCCAGGCTGAGCACAACGCACGTCATGCCGGGCAACCACTTCGCCTGAGACTTTATGTAAGGCCGTAAAACCCTTTAATGTTTTTTTTTTAGTTCCGTTTCGCGGTTCCTTTCATTAGCGTTTAAGTTGTGATAGTATTGTGATTTAGGTTAAAAGTGGGCGAATATTTTCGTTAGCGCATCGGGGGATAACTTTTCTTTACTGGAAAGACTGATTCTAGTGTAGACACGACGATTACAAGGATAGTTGTCGCACTAGTTTTGAAATTTTTCCATTCGATCTTCTTTGTAGCCTAATTATTGATTTATTTGTAATTGAAACATATTTTTGAAACCGATTATGTGGTATTGGATTGTGCCAGGTTTAGCGAGAACAAAAAGCAATTTCTGCCTTGTTTTACTAAAACTAACTTTTTTTATAGAATTCTGCCATTTTCCAAGAAAAACATCGTTTTAATTGTTAGAACGTTTTAGATACTATTAATAACCTAAAATTACGAAAGTGTAGAAGGACTACCTTAATTTTTTTTTAAACTCGGTATTCCGACCATTTTGATTACTTTTTTTATTTTTTTTAGCTCGGTATTATGCCTATAAACTTAAAATTAGAAATGTTACGCAGAATTTGTGAGAAATTCATTGTTATTTTGGGTTATCTGTTCAAGTTCTTGAATTATCCTGGAAAAAAGTGAAATAACACCAAGGATATGGTGAAAATTCAATAAACTTATCGATACTGAAATGGCAGAAAGGAAACGTCATTTTGAACAAAAGATTTCCTGTAACCAAAGGTCAAAAAAAAATAAGTATCTTTTTTAATAATTATAAAACAGACATTAACATTAAAAAAGCACAGATATTTACAGTGATTTAGATGGAGCGGTGCGAGTGTGTCGTTTATCTATAAAAATTGTATGTGATTTTTTCGGTAAATGAAAATTTTTCACTAAAATACAGGGTGATTCACAAATGGTGACCAAAAAAGAAACTTCGATTCTTTGCTGAATTTTAAGGGGAGTCTTTCCTATAAAGTTTTTATCTAGGACGTTTCGTTAAAAAGATACAGGGTGTTAAACTTAAAAAAATATTTTTAATTTTTTTAAATAATTTAAAAACTAGTAAGTGAAATAATTTGAAATTGTATTTATGTAAACATTGTCCAAAATCTGAGGGCTTTTCCTAAAATATACATGCTCCAGTGGTGGAAATACAGGGTATCGGTGGCATATTTTTCTAAAAATAGTACGCCACTGCTTTAAAGTAACAACCATGATATTTTCAGATTCGTTGGTTTAATTTTCTACAAATTACTATCCTCTTATGTTTTTCGAAAAAAGACTGATTTTCAAGTAAAACTTAAAAAACTAACTGAGAACACACTTCGATTGCTATTCGAATATAATGCTTTTTAAAATTACATAGTGGGCTGTGATAGCAACTTTGACATTCTGAGCAATTAGATGAAAGAATAAATAATGCTTTTCATCAGATTCAAGCAACAATAAATTTCGAACAAATTACATTTTCGTTACTAAAAAGGTATTTTTAAGCGTTTACTCAAATAAAATTATTAAAATGATGACTAATGTTATTAATTTCTTTATTCGAATAAATAATTGAATGATTAGTGCTTGTCATTTGAGTAAGTGTTTTCAGTTGGTTTTTTAAGTTTTACTCGAAAATCAGACGTTTTTCGAAAAATATAAGAGAGTAGCAATTTGTAGAAAATTGAAAGACAAATCCGAAAATATTATGGTTGTTACCGTAAAGCAGTAACTTACTATTTTATTTACAAATATATGCCACCGATACCCTGTATCTCCGCCACTGCAACATGTAAATTTTAGGAGAAGTCCTCAAATTTTGGACAATGTTTACATAAATACTCTCCTTAAAATTCACCAAAGAATACGAAGTTTCAATTTTGTTCACCGTTTGTGAATCACCCTGTATATTAAGTGACATAAAAAAAAGGTTTCTTTGCTTCATTGACAGTCATTTGATATCAATAATTTGCACCACCGTTTACAAGAAAATTGGCAATAAACGTTTTTATGACACATTTTGGTGGCAAAGATTCAGAATTGCCATACCACACCAACTGGAATAAGAAAAACAGCAAGAAAGTTGCACTTACGTACATTGTACTTCCTTAGCTTTAGCTAGGAATCTTTGATATGTTTTTGTTGTTCTCGGGCTGGGCTCTGCTATCAGAATCCCTAGACCCTGTTACTGGTTCTGAGGCCGCAGCAGAACGGCCCCTAGATAGCCTAGCCCAAGAACAAGTGCATGTCAAAGATTCCTAGTTAAAGTTAAGTGTAATGCAAAGAGTGACCCCAAAAATCGCCCGTTTTTTCACAATTCGCAGAGAACTAAAGAAAATAGATAAAAATATGTTTTGGTCTCAAAATACTCGTCGTAAAAAATTAAGATGAGCATAGCTTTTAGTTTCAATTCAAAATTCAAATTCAAATTTTCAAAAATCACCTTTATTTAGGGGTTGAAAAGACGCCCAAAATGAAGAATTGAATATTATCAATAAATATACAAACTATTATCATGTGAATTTTTCTGTCGAATGATTCTTGATACAAAGAAAAGTTTATTCTCATGACTGAAATAGGCATGTTGAATTAGAAAATCCACCCTTAAGCGCTCTCAAAAATAGAGAATATCAGAAATAATCATAAAAACTCCAAAAAAAATATATTAAGATAATTCACATGCTAATAGTTTTTATATCAATTGGTAATATTCAAATTCTTCATTTTTGGCATTTTTTCAACCCCAAAGTAGGGGCGATTTTTTAAATTTTCAAAATACTAAAAGCTATTCTCATTTCAGTTTTTTACAAGTAATTTGCGACCAAAAACATATTTTTATGTATTTATTTTAATTCTCTGCGAATTGTGAAAAAACTGACGAAAATCACAGTTTTTTTGCAGTCACTTTTTGTAAGTGGCAGTGACCAAAAACCATGGTACTTTACTAGAAAAATGTAGTGAGCTTTTTTATCAGTTCATTTCCATTTTGAAATATAAATGTTGTGAAGCAATTTGTTTTTCGAGAACGCTCGTCGCAAATTTTGGAGAATATTTCCTAGCCAAGAAAACGAGAATGTTTTCCAAAATTATTGGGACTTTCTGCCAAATTCTGGAGAATGTCCAGCATTAAATTTTCTTAATATACGTCTATATGCCTTTACTATTGGTGCTTGTGATACCCATTTTTATTATGTTTTGTTATCAAAGGTGCATATTCTATTTCTAAAAAAAAATTACATTGTTTTAAAATATAGCAAATTTTTTTTGTAACTTCCGCGTTACACACTGTCACGCCCAAAAAAGGTGAGTTTTTTATTATGAAACCAGCATCATGTATTTTTATTAATAAAATCGGAAGACACAAAAATAATCAACAAGAAATAATTTCTTCGCATATTTTTCAGAAATAATTAAAATATTTTATTTATTTCTTAAAATAATTTCAAATATAATAAATAATATTTCGTTAAATGGTTATAAAATCAAATTATAATTTTAATAGACGTGACATTTCTTTTACTTTTTAGAAAGCCCTGAAAATGGAAACTTTGATAACATTTATTCTCGATTTATTCTCATTCCTGAGAAATATTCTCAAAAAATAGGTTCTCGGAAACTTTGCATCACGAAGTTTGTATTATATTTTGAAAATCATGTCAGGCCTTGGAAATGACAATAAGTCTATAAAATTATAATGAAAATTATCAATTAGTACATATTTTCACCACTCCTCACCTCCGCTTTAACGATTTTGAAGTTGTGTAAGATAAAAAAAGGCAATTTACATTTTTTTTTTAGGATGATCCAAAAACCTGAAGAGTTAACTGAATTTTAAAAACAGCAATGAAATTTTGCTAAAATTTTGCTGATTTTGTAGGTATCTCTAATAATAAACAAGTAAACCATTCTGACTTTCCAAATTTAAAGTAAAAATCGGAATTCTGAGTATTTAAAAAAATGTATAAACTAGGATGGCCTTTCTACGCCTTCGTATAAAACAGTTTTACTTTTTAACAAATATTAACTAACCTTAAGTGTTACATAACGTGGTAGCTTAGAGTATGTATTTTAACATATATTTTAATCTTTATATATACCCACATGTTAGGCTTTAAGGTTTTAAAATTATTCTAAATAAAACAACAAAAGATAATATTTAAATACAATAAACCAACCTTTAAAGCTATGGGATAAGTATTATAACAACTTTACACTGTTAAGGAAATATATACGCAGCGTTTTTGCTTCATACCAATTTTTTAAAACATGCTGCCAAACAAGAAAAATCAACCGAGTTTAATCCAATATTTTTTACAGTTGAATAAGCTTTTCTCATGTTTTAATCCCAGTTCAGGTGGTGCTATTTTTTGACAGCCGTCTTGACATTTGTGCCAAAATTTTAACCTTAGTGTAATAGTTCATTGCATACAAAAAATCTCTTATTCACTGTATTAAATGTTTGGGATGAAGAAATATCTCCAGTCGACTATTCAAGAGTATGAAATATACACGCGGATTGTGTACCCTGGATACATACATTTGTTTTACGGGTTCTGACATTAGATCTAGATAGCTTTGTGTGTCTCGATTGAAACAAATAAAAAATATTGCGAAACTTCCCATAACGGCAAACTTTAATGTTGACAGTTGCATTTTACACGGCACACTTGGTTTCTTAACATTTAAAATGTCATAAAAAGTCTCGTATGTGCCATATCTTATTTTAATAAACGGTTGTCGTGACGTCCAATGCAAGGTACAAAGTGGTGGCCAAATTTGCTTCTTTCTGAGTATTTTATCTGCTATTACGACATAATAAAGTAATGGTAAAATAAATATTATATTAAGGAATTTATTAATATTAAGTATGATTTTTAAAGACATTCGTTACTTTCTTGCTAAGCTAAGGTCTTTAATGGCGAATCTTATGAAATCGTTGTTGCCAAAAAATATAAATGTAACGCCCGTTAGAATTTAATAGAGAGTCTGTCTCACAACCGTCTGTTTAGCAACGAAACATCAAACAAATGCCAGATTTCAAAAATACGAGTACAAAGTAAATAACATACAAATCAGAGACTTTCTATCAAATTGTGCCATTTTTGTGATGGATCTAAATATAGAGCATAAGTATATAATTAAGATATAAAAGTATAATCCAAATAGATGTGACTGTAACATTGCATATAAAGGTACAGGAAGTTCTATCTTATTTACTTATATTTTTTTGTACAAGGTGAGTATAAAATGTGAAATATTGCTAATACTTTCGAAACTGTGGTTTATGAGGTGGCACTTTTCTTATCCTGCAATTGCATTGCCGTAGTAATCAGCTCAATTTTTTTTAAAGGCATTATATTCATGGCATTCATTTCTTTTTTCAACAGAATAGTATTTTTTTCATGTGACTATTTAATTTTTTATTTGCTTATAGAAGAAAATCGCTTTTTCAAATCAACAATAATTGGACTTTTATAAAGTTCCTCAATTTTTTGTACTGTACTGAAGAATTGTCATGTTTGTAATTTTACGTTCATGACTTTTATTTTATTATGCATTTTAACATTAATAAATAATGATAACTCAGTGGATTTAACTATGTCAAATCATTTTAAGAGGTTCTTAACAATTCACAAATTACAGCTTGCCATCTTTTTCTGTCACTATACAGGGTGTCAGTTAAAAAAAGTCAACGTTGTGTGTGTCCAGTCCAAACTAAACACCCTGTAGCAGTGTCCAGTGGCACCTGGTGAAAATTAAAGTTGTCATATTTTGTTGAAAAATAAAAAATTAAAAGTCAGGAGATGTTGAAACGAGTTGCACATACATATTATTATGAATTAATATGTCATAATGAAATTAACATTGTTATAATGTTTCAATTTTGATGCAAGAACTTATCGAGTTATGTATGACTAGGTGATGATAATAGTTTTTTTTTAAACGTCTGAAAAATGTATAAAATTTCCTGGAGAGACTAAACGTTACATATAAAAATTGATTATGCCATTCAATAGTGGGCAAAAAGTATTCTTCGTTTTTCAATATCACCTCAAACAAGGCTCAAATGAAACAAAAACTGATTTCCAAAATTTCGTTTTTTTTTCAAATATTTCGAAAACTAATCATATTAGCCTTGATTTTTTAGGCATAATGTTGGTCCTCTGTTTACCCAACTTTGCCCGATTTAAGGTAGTTCGTATCTCTTACCGTTTCCGAGATCCCTGTAGTGAGAAACGAATTTGTAACAGCCTGTATATGTGCAATTTTTTTTTTCACAAATACTAATTTTCTTTATAATTATGTTTAATTCTAATTATTTGATATAAATATTTTATTTTAAACACTTACTGCTGTTAAAAACTAAAAAATTTTAAAATTTTGAGGAAAATAAAAAACGGCTCTGAAAAAAATGTTGCAAAGATATTGTGTATCCCTTTTCAAGATCTCAGTATTGGTAACCCCTAAATTAATTTTTTTGCAAATTTCTTCCAAAATATTTCTTAATTTTCACCAACCGCCAATATTCCACATTTCTATTTTCACCCTGTATAGAATGTTTATCCAGTTTGAAAAAAATGTTTTTTTTTTCCCTAATGAAAAAACAATTTCACCCGTACTCAAACATAATTCTGATTTCACAGGTCTTTTTGTTATGCCAATATTTTGACTCGTTTAAATGTATTTAATAGTCAAAGTAATTCGCAACAAAAAGGATGTACAGATCGCCCTGTACTCAAAGTACTTTTTGTCTTCGAGTTAAATAAATAATTTTATTAGAGCTCTTTCTTAGTTTGGAAATTCTAACATCTTAGATTTTTAATTAATAATTTACATATACTATATAAAAGTGCTATGATCCATATTTAATATGCATTTAAATATAAAGTATTTAAAATGTTGTTGCTCAATATAATTGTCATATATTATAGAATATAAATTATTGTGTGTTATTAATAAATTTTTATTGTAAGTCTGGCTTTTTCCTTTCCCTTTTCCAAAAACACACTATAGACTTTTTTCGATTCGGTGCTGGTTGATTTTCGATAAACATCCAATATAAATTGAAAAATTCTAAATATTGTTAATTGAAAAACAAACCTCACACATTGAAATAATTAAACACCTAATGTAATCTTTCAAAGAAATTTTTTATTCTTGTTCTAACATCACCTTTGACAAAGATCAATGCCTAAATATCGCTACGATAAATAGATCTCGGCTATTCATGCATTTTTAGGAATGCTTGCTCAAGCGACTCCCTTGTAAATTGAATTAATAAATATTAATAGAACAGAATTAAAAAGCGGGCCTAAAAATGCAGAATTAACTAGATCTATCTATCCTGGCTACATTTACGTTTATGTTAAAGATAATAATATAGATAATATTTAGATATATCATTTTTAATTTATATATTTTTGATAATAATTAGCGATTTACTAGATATTGTTGGAGTAATTCAATGTTGCATGTAACCTGCAGAATAGTTTCCTGCAATATCAACAGTTAAAAAAATGTCTATGAGATTAAATACCTATCTATATTTTTGTTATCAAAGAACATTGACTTAATTTCATAAGATTTTTGAGAAATTCTCTGAAATTATTTGAATTATCTTAACATCTTTAAAATAAAGTAGAAGTGCAAGAACCATTAATAAACTATTTATTCTTGAAAAAATCCAGTAGGTCCTATGTTGTCACTAATACAAAAATTGGTGTTTTTTAACAATATCTACTAAAAAACGTACAATTTTAAGAATGTAGGTATGTTATTAATTATAAAAAAAAACTATTTTTAAAATAAGAATACATTATCAGTTGGTACAATATGCAAATCGTGATTAAATAATAGGTACTTACACCGCAAATAATTATTACCACCAGATAATTTTAATCCTGTTTCAGTTTTGAAAGTAATATCCTTGCGTAGATCAATCAACGTGTGATAGGTAACGCACGTAGAGGCTGATAGAATTCCGGTTTTCTTATTCGCAGATATCTTATTGAAATAACGAGGGTATCAGCCGTAAATCATTTCCGGAGATAACGCCAGCAAATTTGAATGTGCGCCCAGGAAAATGCAGCCAACCTGACCGCCCGACATGCACATGCACCCGTCAATGGCTCCCATCAGCTGTCGATGCGCGTGCGCACAGTATCGAGTGCGATCTCCGGGCAGTGCGCGTACGTGCTCCCAGCGCTGGCTTCGCCCTATGCTAAATTAATACAAAGTTTGTTATTTGTTTGTTGATATTAACCTAAAACTCGGCGATACGGTGCGAAATGGATGTGAAAAGTGTCGATGGTGGGCATGAGCACTTTCCGAGAACCATCCGCTGGCGAACAATCCCAGAATAACCTCATTTTGGGTAAGTAAGTCCCCTGATGACAGTTTGTGTGTGTATGTGTGTCCTTGGTGGAAGGGTGTTATATTTACCGTAAATGATGATTACGAATCGCAGGTGCTTCGGTGCACTGCATACGTCAACTGTTTACAAATGGCACCCTGCTGGATTGCTTTCGTTTTTCGGGTTTCCCAATCGTTACGTCCTGTGTGGACGTTGAACGGTTCCTGGCTGTCATTTTAAGTGGAATGCCAGGCTCGGTTTTGATCTCAGGCACTGGGTGAATGCCGTGTGTACGGTGTATTATCGACTTTCCCCGTGAAAGGGTACGATTGGGGATGATTCCGTGAAGAATTTTATCACGTGAATGTTTGGTTTCGCTGATACGGGACATTATCAGCGGTGCTGTGCGGGTGATATGGCTTCGGAATATCGACCTCCTCTCTACTGCTGAGCCCGCTTCGCGGATTTGGGATTACAAACACGGTGAACGGAATTATGGACAGTTTTATGTCAGGAAAGGCAGTTTCGGGTCGAAAAATTGAATGATACTTAGATTTTTCTTGTAATCAAAGGGATCTTTAATGTCTTTGTTTGCCGAAAATCATCAAAACATTTTTGAAGGTACTGTAAGTCCTAGGTACGAGTATAAGGAACTTCTAGTAAACGATGTATAGTGGATAACAATTGTTTCACCACCCAATGTGCCTTAAATTAACCAGTATGCCAAATTTTTCAGAAATTTGCAAAATGTATCCACATCTTTTGTTGTGGTTAAATGTAGGTAGGTGCAGCATATTTTTTATTGTCAGGTAGATTTACCTTTGGGTATACCCCTTTGTGGGTATTAAGGAAAGGTATAAATGTAGGTACAATATGGTAGATCAAAATTGAAGGAACTTCTAAATGTACAGGGTGTTTTTTCAGTAATCTACCATATTGAAGGGGAGTCATCAATGTGAAAACATGTGAAATATGAAAAATACTTACAAGTGTTTCAAAATTCAAAAAAAGTCAAAGGACGAATAAGGGAAACAGCGTAATATATCAAGGGCTGTTGTGAAAATTATGACTTTTAAAGTAACTTTCTGCCTTATAAAGGTTTATGGAGCTTATAAATTTGACTTAATAACAATTCAGACTAAGACAAAAAAAGTAGAAGGGACAGTATGATCCCCGCGCAAGAATAAGACAAACTGACAAGTGCGATTTTGTTCCCTTTTCTAATGAAACACGCAATACATACATTAAAATTAAAATGATTCAGAGAAATGTAACAAGTCCTCTGTACAAGAGTGACGCAGAAAATTGAGAAGCATTTCATTTTTTTTACATAACAGAAAAATTGCACTAATATATTTCTAATTCACTTTTTGCATTACCTTCTGAAACCTAAAACCAATCTAATGACCAATTGCCTCAAAATTTATGATGTAGACTTTTTCAGAATTTTTTTTTGTAATGTATCATTGGAATTTAACTTTATTAAAGGATAAGTAAATGGGAAATGTTCAGTTATTTTTAATTGTAGGATACAGAGTTTCTTTAAGACACATTTATTTATCAATTTAGTAAAAAAAATAACACGAAAAAACAACCTTGAAGGTATATCGCACCAGTACCAGAACTGAGGTTTTCTTCTAAAGAGACCCTCCCCCTTCAATACTTTGGATACATATGATCCACCCTGTATACGAATATGGATATAATGTGTACATTGCTATTTTCTTTTCCAAAATTCCTACATACCTACAGCACGAGTGGTTTTACAGCATTAAGAACATTGATTTTCTCTTCATTCAGATAAATGAAAATAATGCTATCCCTGATAAAACTTCTCATTAAATTCATTTTAATCGTAATAAAACATGTATAAAACCCTCGACGAGTGTTTCACGATATAGTTTCTGCCATTGCTGCACCGTTGTGTGCTTTGGAGCTGTTATTTAGGTATATCTCCTTTGTTTCGCAATTTACATATCCACTTTATCATTACAAAATTAAATTTGTCACGACAGCAACCTTCATTGCACCTCACCAATTAGAACAAATTAAAAAGTAATAACTAACGTGGCGGTTATAGTAATAACTAAATTCTTGTAAACTTACATAATGTATTGATTATTTGCGAGCGCGGATGCTATTCTAACTAAATGAAATGGTGTGAAGGTGTCGAGCAGAAGACCAGTTTCATTTCAGTTTGTTGATATATATGTTATAGGTTCGGTTGTAGGGTACACGTATGTACTGTTTTATTTCCAGGGACGTAAGTGATAATGCTGATAACGTGAACTATTGTATCCGTGTAGCGTGGCTATAGTTGATTCAAGTACTTGGTCCTGTTGCTTAATAAGATATTACGTAATATTTTGAACAAAGATTACTTAACGATTTGTAAGAATTTAAAAAATACGTTCGTTATATTGTACAGTATTAATTTTCTTGTGAAAAGAAGGCCGAAAATAAAAATATATTTCATATAAAGGCTCAACGTGGCATTTGAATGACGTACAGAGTAACACAGAACTGATGTTTGGCCGTACTTACAGGAAAACAATAGGAAAATTATTTGATTTAAAATTCCCGAAATTATTCCTTCAAATTTCATGAATATTTAATATTTTAAGTCATTTGAACTGCCCTTTTTTACTTAATAATTTTTTTTAAAAACGTTTTTAGTTTAGTTTTATTATTATTTAGTTGAAAAGAGTAGAGAAATTCGTAAGTAGATTTTGTCAGCGTTGCTGTGGAAAACAAGATACTTTCGTTACTGACAACAATATGAGTCTGATCCTTGAGGAAGCTCGCAAATGTTCGAAATTAATAGGAGTAGAAGCAAATGAATTACGGTAGGATTTATGAATGTCGATACTCAACTCTGAAAATCTGAAATATACTTAATCAAATCAGTGGGTCTCTTTATACCTCGCTTTATACGTATACTTAATTTTACTCATATTTCTGCCAAAAAATTTAAAATGTACCGTATTTATACAGTGTTTACTAAAGAATGGGCCATACTTTAAAGCTAGCTTCCTTGGTTTTTAAAACATGCTGTTTTAAAATAACTAATCATTTTCTAAAAATATCGATCCTTAAAAAAAGTCTGAAGGAAACAACGTAGTGACAAGCGCGCTCAGAACGCCCTGTATGTTTATTGTAAAAAAACAAGTAGATATTCGTGTTTATAACACAAAAAACTTGCTTTTTCAAAATTTGAATAAAATTACCCAAATAATAGATAAGTCATCGTGAGAAAGTGAAATAAAAAACTACTTTCTCGGGCCTATAACTTCTTATTTTCATCCAAGGAAGTATGGCTCATTCTTTAGTAATCACCCTGTATATAAAATAACCCGTATCTCATATTTATTGTAATAGTTGTGAGATATTATGTCAATAAAACAAGAAAAAATCTTTCTAGACTACAGTTAACTGCAATGCACAATATAAAAACATGTTTGTTTCATGCGTAATAATGAAATTTACCAAAAAACCACCATTAAATGATTCTGCATCGAAAAGTTCATAAATATACTTTAATTTTACTGATTTAGAGGCAGAGGTGATCGAAAATATATAAAAAATCAGTATTGCCTTGTAACTCGTAAACAAATGAAGTTATCAAATATCTGATTTAACAGTTGTGAAAATCGAACTCGAAAACTTGTCACCACTTATTTCCTTCCTTTAGCAATTAATAGTAGCAGTAATTAATTTAATAACAAATCGTTATATTTCATAAATAAAGCAGGCTTGAACTAGTTCTACAAAAATGGAATGCATAGTTTCTAATGTTTTGGTTCTCATAGTTCTGTTGGCATTTTTGCTGATCAGATTCGAAGACAAAATGCAGTTTTACATTACTCAGTATCACCCATCTTAATTTGTTTTCGAATTAGTGGCTATATTCATTTTTTTACGTATTTAGACAACTCTATCTCTACCGATAAATGAGTTGGAGTTAAAATAAAAACTATGATATTACTTTTTTACGTTTATATTTTTAGGTAATATTTTTCTGATGGTATCACAGTCGGCCATGGTCCAGAACGCTAGGTATTTGTTTCCTACAAATATATAAAATATCATGATTACTTTGACAAATATGGATATTTTATATACAGCGTGTCCTACTAGTGCGGGAAAGTCCAATATCTATGTTAAAATGAGGAATATCTGGATTTTTCATTTTACTATGTTGCCACATTTCTCGGAATGTACAAATTAAAAATATATTCAACTATACAGGGTGTTCCACTTTTCCTGGACAGACACCAACTTTGGTTTTTTAAATGGAAACACACATTTTTTATATTTTTTTCGGATTCTACATCAAAAATAAAGAGTACTTTGGCTAGAATAGTTCTATTCAAATATTCACAGTTTTTGAGATATCTCGCTTGAAAGGTTTTTCTAGTCGATATTGGTTGCTTACATTTTCTGATACTGACAGGTTATACTAATAGCTACTAATCCCATTTTTTTTATCAGATGTTTAGTAAGGATGACTCTTCCGAATCATGCTCCAAAAACTGGCCTGCGTTATACAGGGTGACCAAAATATGTCAAAATTGCCAATTGAAAAGTCTCGATTTTTTTAAATGGAACGCCCTGTATATGTTCATACCATGAGATGCAGAATTAAATTCTCTACAACTTTGCTATATCTGCTCCTATACCAAAATTCATTAGTTTTTCATGAAATCTCATTTCTATGAAAAAATGCGAATTTTACAAATAGCTTATATGTAAAATAACGTAGTAGGCTCCTGTCAAAGGATAATCTGGATAATTTTCGATATATAAATATACCTTTTTACAGAGTATGATACCTCCAGCTGAAGATGATGTAGCCACCACGTCAGGATTTTTCCCTAACCTCAAAAAATAGCTGAAAATTAGTAGAAATCGCAAAGATTTTAAAATTAACATAAGCGTTAATAGAGTCAAAATAAAAACTTTTTATTCCTGCACTTTTTTCTCTAAACCGCCTGCTGGTGAGGTTACAGCCGTTTTCAACCAATTTTGAGCATTAAAATGCCTACAACTCCTTTAGAATGCATTTTAGAGAAAAAAGTGATGAGGATTATAGTTCAAATGCTAAAAAGAAGATTCATTCATTAGTATATTGCAAGGACTGCTGAATGAACTGAAGCCAGATATTTATAAAGAACAATAGTGGTGGAGGTTGTTCAGAAATTCCTCTAAACAAAATCTAATGGGAGCCTCTTCTATGTATAATACGAATAAGTTCGCTTCTATTCCTATAATACATTCAGTAAAAGAGAGGTACGATAATATGAAACAGGTGTATTAATTGGGTCAAAATAAAAACATTTTTTCTCTAAATACATTCTTGAGAAGTTATATCCATTTTAATGCTCAAAATTGGTTTAAAATTACTGTAACTTCTCTTAACAAAAAATGGAGATTTCCACTGATTTTGAGCTAGCTTAGGGAAAACATTTCTGATGGCTCCATCGTGTCAAAAAGTATATGGGAAAAAAATTGTGTCTGTGTAATAGAATGAACCTCTAACAATGGAAACAGGCAAAAACAAACAATTTGAACCGTTAAAAACAATTAAAAACGAAGTCATTATCCAGCGGAGAAAACAAGAACAGATTGATTTTCGAAACGTCAACAACTTTTTGAAGTGAACGATATAGATTGTTTTTTTTTTTTGTATTCTGTATTTGTCTGCTTTTTTTAATGTGAAATTTTTGGTTAGGTAATACTATTTTCATAAAAAAAACCTCTTGACTGATCCTTTTGGCGAAGGCTTTATTATTTAACAGGTGACAAAATATCCAATAAATAAAGAAAAACCCTTGTTAGGTACTGTAGAAACCATCTAGCAGCGGGCAAAAATAAAGTTAAACGCAGGCTTTGCTACAGCTTGCTTTCTCTTCGCGTTATATGTATCGCTGTAACCATAGCAAGTACATTATGAACATCAATTCGATCTGTATTTACAAAAATACATCGTTACATTGCCTGATTTAAAGAACCTACGTTTTTCTTGCGGTTTAAATTTCTGCTTCCATTGCAAAATTGTTTTCTTTCCAAATTTCGACCTTCACATCCTTATCGTTACTTTCACCTGTCACAAATTGGGACAGCAATTTAATGAGAAACTGCGTTGCATTTTCTCGGTAAGAAATTCCTAAAAAAGATAACTAGCATCGAGCGGCTTGTCCCTGCTTTCGAAAGTTTCTTTTTAGTTATGATCCAAAAATTCTTAACAGGAACAATGACATATTTTCAAGACTGACTCGTCGATAAAACAAATAAAAAAAGAACAAGAATAATTTGCTTCCTAAAACG